GAGCCCTGAAAGGTTCCATGACTTTTCCAGTTGTTTGTAATGTACTAGCTAAGGATAAGGAAAAAAAAAATAATAATAATACTTTACTCATCATTTCTACACAGAGATTTTAGAGCTTGGCATAGCTAGAAAAATGTATATTCATAAAATGTTTAAAGCTACTGTGACGAGAGGGGCGGGGCCGAGAGCCGTGGGAACGGAGCGAGGCCGGTGGAGTAAATGCTAATGCACGACACCTGCGCCACTCACCGGTCTCGAGTCCCACGGAGGAGCTCCAGAAGGATAAAAGGAGGAGTGACGACAGTGTTGGACGAGAGAGGACCAGGCCGGGGTTTTGACAGCCGCTTCCGGTCCGAGATCTTCCTCTGCCGAAAATGTCCGTTCGCCTTACCTCATAATCGAGATCCCCCACTCGCCGTGTAACCACAAAAGGTCCTTGCCACTTCGCGAGTAATTTAGAACTAGACGTTGGAAGTAATACAAGCACTTTCTCTCCCGGTGTAAATTGCCGCGCTCGCGTACCCCTGTTGTACAGTCGACTTCGTCCTGAGCCTGGAGCAAATTCTCCATAGACAGCCACCCCAGAGTGTGGAGTTTTGCTCGGAGGTCCATGACATACTGAATTTCACTACGGCTGTTTGAAGGCCCCTCCTCCCAAGCCTCTCTAATGACGTCAAGCATCCCGCGGGGCTGACGACCAGAGGAGCTTGAATGGGGAAACCCCCGTGGAGGCTTGTGGAACCTCCCGCCATCCGCCCCCCCCCGCCAACTCACTCCAGCCCACCGCCTCGAGCCTCCATGGCGGCAGACTGCTCCGCCATGCTCGATGGCACCGCGGACTCACCACAGCGGCGATGGATCTCTGGCAGCGTGTCCCTTCCTTCCTCCCGGGAAGTAGTTCGGGAAGAAGGAGTAGGGAACCGGCAAACATTTAAAGAAAACTTTAATAATAAAATAAACACAAAATAGCGCGACAGCCCCTCGCGGACGACTGTCGCGCACAAACAGAACCAAAACACAAAATAAAACCTCGGCCAGGTCCTCTCTCGTCCAACACTGTCGTCACTCCTCCGTTTATCCTTCCGGAGCTCCTCCGTGGGACTCGAAACCGGTGAGTGGCGCAGGTGTCGTGCATTAGCATTTACTCCACCGGCCTCGCTCCGTTCCCACGGCTCTCGGCCCTGCCCCACTCATCACAGCTACCCATAAACTTTTTCAGGTCTGGATATGACACTTTTGTAATTGGGCTTCCTCAGTTTTTCAAGTAGTGGGAACCCTGGTTCTTCAAAGAAAAAATACAGTTGTTGAGGGTGAATTAAAATAAGAAATGTCTTAATGTTTAACTTATTTTAATCCTTGTTTTGTTTTAATATTTTAATGCTTTACATTTTAAGTTTACTTTAGGCTTCCTATAATGTGCCATTTAGGAAGTTTATGAAAGCAAGTTTATTTATTTTTATTATTATTTTTCACTCAACTAGTTTTCTTCTGTCCTTTACACAGGTATGTTAGCAGAGCAGTTTTTAGCAGGTGGTCCCAAATTTCAGCTATATGATTCTTCCACTCAGCACTGGGAGCAGCTGATGAACTGGCAGCACACCACCATGTACCTGTTCTTTGCCATCGCAGGGGCCATATCTCTCACTGTCCACAGCACAGACATCGCCCCGCTGGCCTTAGACCGGATGCTGCTGGGTCTTGCTTTCTTTAATGAGGGTAGGATCTTGTTTTTTCCTCAGACTGTTTTTAAAATGGTCCAAAAATACGATGCAAAAGAGTATTTTATAAATGTGTTTTTTAATGTTGGAGAATGTGTGAACTGTTACCCGAACTGAGCACTCTTTGTTACTCTTCAAATTATTTTTTTCTGTTTGTGATAATTCAACATACAATAAAATTCAGCACATGTCTGCCTCCTGCAGGATTTCTGTTTCTTTACCATCTCCATGGTAGAGATATGCTTGATGTCCATGTGCACACCCTTCTTCTCTATGCCATCTTTGGACAAGCTTTTATCTGCCTTCTGGAGGTTTTCCACATAAATGGTGGATGTGTGAGCTGGCATGCAATGAGAATGGAATGCCTGTATAAAATTACACACATGCTTGTGGCCGTGCCAAGCTCTTCCACAGCCCTGCCAGGCGCCCTGAAAGAGAGAGGGCACAGAGAGGTTAGTGTGTGTGTGTGTGTGTGTGTGTGTGTGTGTGTGTGTGTGTGTGTGTGTGTGTGTGTGTGTGCATACGTAAATGTGCAAGTCATTTTGACTCAACACTGTTTAACCCTCATTCTTGTATTTTTCTAGATTGGCTTTGTGCTGTACCCACCCAGTCAAGTGAAATGGGATCGGACAGACCATGACAACGCTATCTTTGTCACATTATGCTACTGCTGGCACCTAGCGTTTGCATTGCTCACTGTAGCTGTAGTTTACTTGTCTGTTCTCTGGTGAGCACGACATATTCTATTCATTCCAACATGACATTCAGACATAAAGGAGCATAAACTACCATTCAAAAGTTTGGGATCAGTATGATTATTTTAAAAGAAATTCAGCAAGGACTCGTTAGGTTAAATGTTAAAAAACTAGCATGTATATACTCAAAATATTAAGGAGCACAACTGTTTTCAACATTGGTAATAAGAAATCTTTCTAGAGAACCAAATCAGCCTATTAGAATGAAGGATCATGTGACCCTGAAGACCGGAGTAATGGCTTCTGAAAATTCAGTTTTGTAATCAAAAGAATCAATTACATTTTTAAATATATTAAAATAGAAAACAGTACAATTGTAATAATATTTCACAATATTACTGTTTTATTGTGTTATTGTGCTTAAATGCAGCCAAACGTTTGAACAATAGTTTACATTTTTTCCCTGTATATAGTACAGGAACTTACTGTTAACCTATTAACAGTTTTTTTCCGTAGCGTTTTTACAAAATTTTACAGTTAAAATTACACTTATTTTTTACAGTGTATGAAATAATACTTTTACTGAAGTTTCCTTTCTGTATGCTTGATTCATTGAGTTCCTTCTCATTTTCCTTCATTGTTCTCCCTCCAGTGCTGTGCGTTCCAGACTAAGGAGGATGCCACCCATGGAAATGGGGCTTTTGAAACCAAGGGAGAAAGAAGTAGAGTCTGAAGACGAGATGTTATGAGTATTTATCATCCTTACATGTTCAAGCCAGCATCCAAATACATTTGGACCTGAACCCAAAGAAAATTATAGAGACAGCGAGTGAGCGATAGATATGAACAGAGATGCATTGTCACTAAATATTAGCTCTGTCTTAATTTCCTGAAGAGCAGATGGGAGATGACAAACAGTGACAGTCTTGCTTCCCAAGATCGGTTTCATCATACTATAACAAGTGACTCTAAGTAAATCTCAAGAGCCATAGTGTTATATCTCCCACTCATGTTCCTAGTATGATCACTACAGTGATAGCTACAACTCTCTGTCCATGCCGTCTGCTATCTTGTGTGGTCATTCCTTTTTTATTTCACTACTCCACTCCACCTATTTCCCTGATGCACCTCAGGACCAACCTACTCTAATAAATTAATTAAAACTTGATTATTTTCTATACATGTTTGCATCAAGTCAATCAAATATGTGACCCTGGACAACAAAACCAGTCATAAGGGGCAATTTTTCGAAATTGAGTTTTATACATCATCTGAAAGCTGAATAAATAAGCTTTTCATTGATGTATGGTTTGTTAGGATAGGACAGTATAGGCCGAGATACAACTATTTGAAAATCTGGAATCCGAGGGTGCAAAAAAATCCAAATATTGAGAAAATCGCCTTTAAAGTTGTCCAAATGAAGTTCTTAGCAATGCATATTACTAATCAAAAATTAAGTTTTGATATATTTACAGTAGGAAATTTACAAAATATCTTCATGGAACATGATCTTTACTTAATGTCCTAATGATTGTTGGCATAAAAAAATAATCAATAATTTTGATCCATACAATGTATTTTTGGCTATTGCTACAAATATACCCCAGCAACCTAAGACTGGTTTTGTGCTCCAGGGTCACATATGATGTATTGATTATTTTTGAGTCTTTATGTACACTTTTTGTTGTCATTGCATTGTTTATCTTTGACAAAATACTGTGTAAATTTGAGATTTTTTCATGTGCCTTGTCAGTATTTTATGTTGTCAACAAAGGACAAATAATATAATATTTTTATCATGCTTTTAGTGGGTACTATATGATCTACATGCTTAAATTTGTTATATTTTAATGCCTCTGAGATTTGCAGGTGTGTAAGACACTTTTTAATCATCAAATGAATGATGCTTTTGTATTTTCTTGATAATTCTTGTCAGCCATAACAATTCCTCAGCTAGTCTGCTGTTTGTTTATGCCATAGTATTCTTTACCTTGACTGAAAAAATGCCATTGTATGTGGAATCTTCAAATTATAGTATCTTATCACATGCATTTATTGATCGATTTAATTTAATTTGACTTGATAATAAATACATTTTTTTCAATAAAATATTTTATTAGTGTATAAGAGTGTATTAATGTTAAATGCTTTTTATTTGCCATGTGCTGGCATTTTTTACCCAAATATATATTCTCTCAATGAACAATAATAAATAAAACATTAAAAAAATGTTTAAAACAATGTTTTATAATATATAAATATAGACATATGACCCAACTAAAAGAGAAAGGAAAGGAAAGGAAAGAAATGGGGTCTCTCAAAAAAGTGGTCCATTAATACTTAAAGGGGTCATATGATGCTGCTAAAAAGAACATTATTTTTGAGACTTTAGTTTTTGCAACTTTACAGATCTTCTTCATGCACCAAGAGCTTGTAACACTCCAAAGAGAAAGGAAAAATTGAAATCGCATCATATGACCCCTTTAAAAAAAACATCTTTATTCATGCTCTGAACCAAGCCACTTTTCGTGCACCTGTGAAGTACCAGTAGGTGGCGTGCGTGAGCACCAGGTGATAATCATGTTCAATGAAGGGAGCCAAAAGGTGAAGGTAACACGTGTATGATGACAAGCGAATGCCAGCTGGACGATGATACAACACATTCTCAGGGATTTAGAGTGAACCGATTCAATTAATAAAGAGAACTGAATGTACAGTAATGGACAAACTCAGAGCGGTTCTGGGTGGTCGTGATGGAAACAACGACAACAGAAATGTACTGCAGGTAAATGACTGTCCTTGTGCTCTGCTATTAGCTCTTAATTAGGATCTTTTAAAATATTTAAAAAATGTATAAACAATAATATGATGCTGATTTTGCACGTATTGATATGACGACTTCACATTTTGAAACTTTTTATTTGGGGGAGGGCATAAAATCAGTATGTTTCATTATATTAATAACCATCCTTTTTTTCTCATGGAGTATGTTGCCTGTTTATTCCTAAAGTAGGGCTGATTCTCTTCATTGTGTTTTACACATTTGGCAACATATGCTCCTTAGTAAGGTAAGTCATAAAACTTGCAACTTAAATGCTCTAACTATTTATTATTGCATTTTGATGAATTCACTGTTTAATTTGAACCTACCCCCAGCACCATGTTTCTGATGGGGCCAGTGAAACAGCTGAACATGTGTGACAAGACCAGAGCCTTTGCTACAGTTGTTATGATAGTGAGTTATTTTCCACACACTAATATCCTCATATAAAACCAAAAATGAGGATCTGGACTGACTGTAAAAATAATGCATATATGTCAGTTGGGTCTTTCAATTTCAGACTATTAACCCTTTGAAGCAAAGGCAATGCCAATTGACAAGTTTATTATTGATGACTAATTGTACAACATTCATACAAAATCATGAAAATATTTAAAGTCAGTAAGAAATCAAAATTTACTCTTTTTTTATTGCATGATCCTGGTGTTACTATGAGCAGATCATCTGTGCACATTTCTAAAATGTTCATAATAATATCATCAATAATGTTAAGAATTTTCATGATCCAATACATTTCTTATTGATAAAATGAAGTCCCGCCATGGATTCTGTTTCCTCATTAAATATCTCATGTTTGATTTGGATATACTTCTGATTTTGCAAGTAAAATTCATGTTGTATTTAAATAAATGACTTTTAAATTTCTCCTAGAATTAGTGCCATCTCAAAAATGTGTTGGATGCACCAACCATTGGAAAAATTATTATTTTAGCTCATGTGCATCCTTTGGAAATCTTCCAGTTACAGCGAATACAGATTCTGATTATAGATACAGTATTTTTGACCAGCTTAGCAATGGGTACTGAGAGTTCCACTTTTTATTTTGTGGCCTACAGACATGTCTGGTTCTCACACTCTGTGCAGCTTTTTGGGTGAGTTCTAGTCTATCCTTACTGTAGATTTCAAACTAAGTCTGAATCAGATGATACAGTATTATTTGATGCTTTTTTAACACTGATCTCTGTACCACAGTGGAAGATCTTTGCACTCACTTTGCTGTTTGTCATTCTGCAAGTCCTTGCATTTGCATGGTAAGTTTCCTTGATGCTGTGTAGTAAATATATTTTAAGCATATTATTTAAATAAGTAGCTTAGCACCCAGTTTAATATTGTACTGAAATACATTTTATCAATTGAATTTTTCTTCTCTATAGGTATAGCTTGTCATACATTCCTTTTGCAAGGTTAGTTATGTTTTGTGATTTCAAAATATCGAATTAACAGTAATACAGATATTAACAGACTGATGAATGTGTGGTTTTTATTGTATTCAAATATAAATTAAATATAGTTTATTCTGGTAAATGACAGCAGTAATCAAGCACAGGCTAAATTGGACCTGGCTGTTTTAAAATCTAGAGTCTGCTAGACTTCTTTTCTAAGGCCTTCATACTCTCTTTACCTTAACCAGAGATGCCGTCCTGAAGTTTTTCTCCATGCTGTGCAACATGTGTGTGAAATGAAGAGCTGGGGTTTGGCCTTTCACCACTCCAGGAACTTTCTGCTCAAGTATTCTGTGATTTCAGGATCCACAAATGATCATTGACAGAATGGCACAATGGGACATTGCTGTAATGGCTAGTTGGACATTTTGTTAAATCTGAACGTAAAGAATAAGTCTGCGTTCTACTGAATGTGTTTTAACATGTTATAAATCAGAAAAGGTTACAGGCCTGCTTTAAAATTAATATTTATAAAATCAAATATTTTGGAGGTGGCTTTTGAAAGTTGCACTTTAAATTTTCTCTACCTTTGTCGTCTTAATATTGTATGATAACAACCTGTAAATAAAGACTAGTTTTATCAGTTAACTGTGTATGTGTGTGAATATCTAAAAATTGTTTTGTAATTGACACTATCACAGATGATTTGTCTGGATTTTGTGAATTCAAGACCTGGGGCCCGTTGTTCGTATATCGCTTATTACCAGTGTTGGGGAAAGTTACTTTTAAAAGTAATGCATTATGTCAATCAATAAATTGAAAAAAAAAAGTAACTTGCGTTACTTATTTGAAAAAGTAACTCAGGTATTCTCTTGTAAATTAAAAAGTAATGCGTTACTTTACTAGTTACTTGAAAAAAGTAATATGATTACATAACTTGCGTTACTTGTAATATATTACCCCCAACACTGCTTATTACATCCGAGATGAAATGTCACATCCAAGCTGATATCATCGCGCTAATCAGGATCTGGCTAATTCGGTTCTACGAACACACCTGTTGTTGATGATTAGTATGGCTGGATTGAGTTATCTGAGATAATTGCGTGTTCATGGATTGGTTTAAAAGGGGCTATGTATCGATCGATACTCGAAACCACGATCAGCAATGCAGCGATTGGCTGGCGGCAGCAACGTAATGACATCATATAATTAAATAAGACACCTGACGAAAAACTTGACAAAGTTTTGGACTTTTACAAGGAAACAGCCAAGCGAACAAAACTACATAAATGTTATAATAGATAAATGAAATGTGTTTTTATTTTATTTAAATTGTTTACATGATTCCCATGTATTCCGGGATGAGCTTTGAAGACCCAAATAATCCAAGATCATGCCAAATCGTCAACAATCAAATCCAGCTAAGTGAGTTAGCAACGTACGAAGAACGGGCCCCAGCAGTACAGCTCTGTGGCTTTTGTTGGGTTTACATTTGTGTTTGTGTGTAAACGTATTTATCTTTTTTAATAATGGCGCCTTTAAAGTACGTGTCTGCATTGCCGACTAGTCATTGGACGACCTCTGTTTTGAAACCCGCCCACTCACTGTTGCAGGAAGTAGTCATGCCTAAATTCTAGTGATGGGAAGTTCGGATCATTTTACCGACTCGGACCTTTGAGTCTCGTTCAGCAAAATTAACGAATCTTTTTTCGAGTCATTTCGTTCATTTTAGCAAAATATAATTAAAATGTCACGTGTTACTTCCCTAATACGTCTACTACTTACGCAAACGTTGATCACACTACAAACAATACAAAACTGCTATAAGAAACAGAAAAGATTAATTAATTGTTTACCTGGGTCTTCAGTCTATGATTAGCTCACCTCACCTCTTATCTGACAAGTCTTTGGGTTTGAGTCGTTCGTTCCTCACGTGACAGCCCCACACACTTTAACCAATGCAGTCAAAATGAACGAATCGTTCAAGAACGACCCAACACTACGAAGTTCACGTCAAACTCTGGCGCGGGCAAGCTATTATAACTTCAGTAGCCTTTTTGACTGAAGTGTCTAAAGATAGAAGGCTTAATGTGAACGTAATTAAACCACAACAATGTCAACATTTCTTCGAGCAGTCAAAAGCAATCTACCAGAAAAGGAAAAATCGGAATTAACGGAGAGTGACCTGAAAAAATGGGGACTAGGAGGTGTGTGAATTGAGAGCTCCTTGTAATATGTTTAAAAGAAACACAGCAAAGTATTTGTGTGCCATTTAAGATTTTGTGCCTGAAAATGTTTCACAAATTATGTGTAATATAATTAAAGTATTTATGGACTGCGTTCATTTATTTCATATTGTGGCTTTGTTTCAACCTAATGAGCACGATTGAAACTGAGTACTTGTACTTGAAATTATAATTTTTATTACTTGCATTTGGTTTAGTACATTTTTGCATGGTATACTCAAAGTTCACTTTTAGAGCTGATGGCATCTATTTCATCATTCAGAATGTTTGGGCAGTGTTGGCTTTCATGTGGAACATTAATTTAACCAGTGAAAAAGAAATGCATTGAATGCCCACTTTATGGTTTGGAATACTCTAAATCTAAAAGTGTTCTTACGAACAACACTGCAATGCTTTATCTCCTTCCTAACAGCAATTCATCTGAGGTCTTATCAGGTTGATGGAGTGAGGTGGCTGTCACAGTGTATGAAGAACCAGCAGGGCTGCATCCTTGGTGATGAGATGGGTCTGGGCAAGACCTGCCAGGTTTGTAATGGGATGGGTTTACCTTGCTTATAATGCTTGCTTTTAAGTCAGAGATTTATTCCAAGATGTCAGGTATCAGATAACTGAGATGCCATCCTCTGCTGTAGACCATTTCTTTGCTGGCATATGCTCGAGGATACCTTAAGATGAACGGACCGTTCCTTGTGCTTTGTCCCTTATCTGTTTTGGAGAACTGGAGACGAGGTACAACGGTAAGGGATGCTGGTATACGGTCAGACTTGAGTGGTCAGTTTAGATTACAAAGAAGGCATATTAAAGATAAAGCCTACTGATTTATTACTGTTGCAGGACTGTGAAACAATATGCCACTTTATGAATGTGTGAATATTCCAGCATGAACTGATTTTACATGAAAGACAATGTGTTGTCACTGTCACTAGATGGAGACAGTAGCATATAAACGAAGAATTAGTATCTTCCTTGAATCCAACTTAACATGAAAGATTAGTTAAGGTTCTCTTACTTTATTTTTTTGTTTAGCTTCTGTCCCAGTCTGTCTGTGGTCTGTTACACTGGAGATAACGAAAGAAGGGCAAAGCTCCAGAAAGAGCTCAAGAATGACCGACACTTTCATGTTCTTCTCACCACCTATGAGGTTAGTGCACCTGTTTTCAGAGAATAGGTCTGTGATAACTGCATTCAGAGGGTTGCATTCCAAAAATCTTTTTAAATCATATTTAATAGATGTGCCTCAAGGATGCCAGCTACCTGAAAAGGTAATCATCTTAAATTTTTCTTTTTGCTGTTTTGGTAAAGAGATATAGTTTGAAAACTTATATAAATAACAATATTTCCTCAGTTCTGCTACTCAGGCTTTTTGCACGTAATTAAAAATCAAAATTGGTTATTTGGGTGGCATTAAAGTTTTTTTTTTTTTTTTTTTACCATATATAGCTTTTGCAGTCATTAACACTCATGTAAAGGTAATCTGTAAAAGCTAATTACTAAATTACTAATAATAGCATTTAGCAAATTGCTAAATTGTACATTATAAATATTGTTTTTATACCTAAATTCAGCTGTAGTTTTGAGTTAAATTTTTAGTTTTCTGCTTTTCTCTACCTTTGTCTTAATACTTTATAATCATAACATTTTGTCAATAAAGAATAATTTTATAGTTATTACAAAAAAAAGTTTTATAATTTACACTATAAATTATATTTTGAAAGTAAAATTCTGCAATAAACATACTTGGCCTTCCTTGGTTTTGCAGGCACTTTGCGGTCATCTAATCTTTAAAAGCAAAATACTAATAATTTAGTAACTTGAAGCCTTTAAAAGTTTGGTTTTAGTTTGTAGTGTTTTTTTGTTGTTGTTGTTGTTTAGACAAAATAGTGTAGAATTTTAATATCTTTAACATAACATTTATCAGTTATCAGCCATAACATAAAAATAATTATAAGTTTATTGGTGTCTGTGACTACATATTTCAATTCATATTTAAATTTACCACTCCACTCTCTTTCCACAGTTGGAAATGGAAGATTGTAGTTGTCGATGAGGCTCACCGGCTGAAGAACCAGGAATCATTGCTGCACCAAACCCTCAGAGAGGTTACACGATTGCATTTTCATTGCTTTTACAGTCACTGTCAGTCTGTAAAACCCCTGATAATAAACCTAGCCTTGCTTGTCAATTTTTCAGCTTTCCCCTGCTATTAACTGCCATCTGACATCTGCCTTCTCAGTTTACAGTGGGTTTTCGAGTGCTGTTGACAGGCACCCCCATTCAGAATAACTTGCAAGAAGTTTTTTCCCTCCTCACCTTCATCCAGCCCAGTCTGTTTCTGCCTGAAGCCGTTGAGGACTTTGTTAGTGCCTACGCAGACGTACAGACTGAACCTGCTCTTGGTATGGCAGCACAAACCTTTGCACTTTCAGTGTGAAAATCAAACTCTTAGCGCTGGAAGATAATTTATGTCTGCCACCACCCTTATTAACACTTACGGCTGCTGGTTTCAGCAAATGTTTCAGCAATTAACTGCCATCATTGACCTTAAAGGCTTTGTGGTAAGACAGTCATGCTTTTAAAAGCTCTTTTCTTTAACTGGTTTAATGTAATTGATGTTTGTGGTGAAAATTACAGTGCTGTGACTGCTTATCACAAAAGCACTGATCAAACAGATCTAAGTGAGACAGGAAAATTGGACCGGTTTGGTGCCAAACTGAACACCTCAGATACACAAACATGGCAGAGCATAAAAAGGTGTCAGTTTCGCAATGCCAGCCTGGTGTAGATTAGATGCTCTCTCTCCTTGACTCACCTGTTAGATTTGCTTGAGGCTATCAGATGATAGAGATCATAAATTCTCATATTATTTGGACTCGGGTGACCTTGTGTGTGAGTTTGTAACATGGTTGTTCTTGTCTGCAGCCGATGAGCTTCATCGAGTGCTCCAGCCCTTTTTGTTGCGCAGGGTTAAAGCAGAGGTGGCTGCCGAACTGCCCAAGAAGACAGAACTCGTGGTTTTTCATGGGCTGTCTGCCCTTCAGAAGAGATACTATAAAGCCATTCTGATGAGAGACCTTGGTAAGTCTTCCCCAACATGAATCATCTGTTACAACAGTCAAAACTGAATACTTTAGCAAAAGGATGAGTGTTCATTTTAATAATTTCAGATGCCTTTAGGACTGATCAAAACTCTTAAGACCCAACTTCTGAACATTTTAATGCAGCTCAGGAAATGTGTGGACCATCCGTATTTGTTTGATGGTAATCACTCTCACTTTTTGTGATTTTTTTAAAATTATTTATTTATTTATTTTTCTATGGTCAGACAAAATAAAAACAACTAACTGTCTTTATTCCGCACCTTTTTCAT